TTTGACAGTCTGTAATAAATTAATGAAATGATGAGCCACGCACACTCACTGGACGTCGGTGACCACACCTGTGCGGTACAATCCACATATTCGTTTGTAAATTTATTTATTGTATTTACTATTGGCTTTACTCATTAAAACCAATGTCAATTTAAGAAATGCTAATGTTGCTCTCTTTTTTTTACGGAATGACAATAGAAAGAGACATGTATAGAGTTAATTAATATTTAATTGAAGTAAGCGATACTCAATGATTACGAATAACTTAATATATATTACTCAATCATCACAATAAATTCATTAAGTTATGACAATAAATATATTTATGAACTAATTTATTTGTTTTATTTTTCTCTTATTTACATACATTTGTTTGAAATTTGGCGTAGATGCTGCAAAGCACTCAAGAAACATAAAATAATAAAGTCGATAAGCTGTATTACTGTAGATCACATAGAAATAGACAAACGTACATAATTACGTCCGAAAAACATAATTCTCCTTTAGGGAAAATGGCAAAAAAAAAAAACATAAATATAAAAATGCGAATTTTATCGCGTTTTAAAACTTGGTTCCCATGGTCACGGGTGGACTGAAATATTTGAGTATCTGATGCCATAGTTAACTTGGGTTACTTTCAGCAGTTTTGAAAGTTGTCCGAAAAAAAAACGTAAAATTAGTTCCATTCAGTGTGTATACTTTGAATATACACTCTTCTTATTTAGTCGCCTATGTAATAGATTAAGCTTTGTTTAGAAACAAAAGATTAATCGTATCGTTTTAATACTAAATAATAATGTCCTCCAGACCGAATTTCTGTCACGGTGGCCAGTCTCAACGGAGACTAGTCATTTGCGCAGGACGGAATTATAGTGCCCAAGGACAGAAGTGTGTGCAAGCACCAAGCATAAGTGCACACTCTATTCCCTCACTCACATAATCCAATGGGACCGCAATCCAACACGACCGGAGAGAGATCAGGCGCAGGACCAACGGCCTTACGTGCTTTCCGAGGCATGGGAGAGAAACACCGCCAGCTTCCCGACTCCGGGCTGCTTCTGAGATTTTTTGGCAGATAAACCCAATAACTGATTTTACCCCAACTCAGGATTCGAATCCGGGTCCTTATTATCAACAATCGCGGTTACTACCTTCATGAGGCAATGTATCTATTAAAAAGTTAAAATTTTTTACTAAGCAATAATTTTGCCACCAGCCTATTAAAGTTCACAGCTGAACATATGCCTTAGCAAAAGTAGTATTTTTTTATAGGATAGGGTGACAAACGAGCACACAATCCACCTGATGGTAAGTGGCCCATAGACATCTACATCTATCCTCGATTACAAATCAAAATGCAGATGCGTTATATCTATCACCCGTGAGGACTAAGATGGAATGCCTCGTTTCCAGTAACAAGGGTTTCCGGTTCTCTACACTCTCTATACGAAACACAGCAGCATTAAGCTACTATTTTACGCTGGTTTTATGCGAGAGCGTGTCCTCCCCCGGTCGAACCAACCCATTCGTGTTACTACTATAATACTAATATAGCTGCAGCATTAACATAATTGTATAAAATAATATATTGTAATTTTTTTAAAGGACAGAGGTTTTTTCCGAACCTGTGGTAAAGCTTAAATTAGTGTCAATAATTATTCGTGTAATCTATAATCTATATTGAATAAAAATGATTCTATTCTATTCTGCCCCATAGATAGTTCAGTTCAGTACAAAGTTCAGTTTTGAGCCACCTTCATCCAACAACTACCCACGTGTTTCATCAGGTCGTCACTCCATCTAATGGGGACTCGCCGAACGCTGCGCTTGCCAGTATGAGGCTGCCACTCGAGAACCTTTCTTCTCCATCGGCTGTCGGTTCTTCGAATTATATGGAAGGCTCATTGCCACTTCCGCTTACCAATCCGTTGGACTATATTATTACTCTCGTTCTTCTGTAGTATCCTAGCCACAGATTTTATCCCGCAGAGAAATTCCGAACATAGCCCTTATCATTACTGACTGAGCATGCTGTTAAGGACCACGTTTTAGTTCTGTCAGTTAATATTTATATACAATTCATAATAATATATAATAATCATAATAAATTCTCAATACCCTCATTGAAAATACATTAAAACTCATCCCGCATTTTATGGTACCCGAACAACTTTAAAAATTAATCGGTTATTAGGTTTTCTTGTTGATCAGGAAACTCTCAGCTGATCAGGATGACTGTATGTGGATATGCTAACTTCCGATATTTTTACAACCTACATCACACCTTTTACCTACATATTTCTATCAATGTTTTTCAATTATAATTACGTATCCTTAACATAGTCCTAAACTTCACTTTCATCTTTTACGTCACATTTTCTTATAGGTGAGTGAGTAACATACAGACACCGAGGTAATTCAATGAGTGTTCTAGTTTTCTGAATTTTATACCGGGATCTTAAAAATAGTATATTTAAATGAAAAAAAAAGTATGGCTAACCTCAAGCTGTTCTTGCAACTTAGCTATGGTCTCCTCAGCCGCGGTGTTACTTTGTTCCAACTCTTCTATGTAGCTCAGGGCGTTTTTTAGTCGCAGTGTCACACTGTCCAGTTCGCCTTGTAGTCGCGCCTTTTCTTTTTCGTACTTCTCTTTCTCTTTTACAGCCGATGTCGCTCCTCTATTAGGTAAATTTAAATTAAAAAATCAGTCGAAGAGCCACGATGCAGATATATATTATGATAGTACCACGAAAGGGTCAGCTCTACTAGGGTAGGACCACACTCTAATAGAACGCTAGCGTAAAATAGCTTAATGCTGCTGTGTTTCGTATGGTGAGTATAGAGATTTGGAAACCCTTTTTATTGGAAACGAAGCATTCCATCTTAGACCTCGGGGTACAACGCATTCTGCATCTTGATTCTTGATCTAGGATAGATGTAGATGTTTATGAGCCACAACATTTACTTACCATCAGGTGAACTGTGTGCACTGTATTCGGTTGTCTCCCTTATTCGATATAAAAAATCTATAAATATAAATAAAGTTGAAGTGTCTGTTTGTAACGTCAAAATAAGAACTTTTTACTAAGTGTAAATGAAAGTATACACGATACAAATAACAAAAAAAACAGTTTTAAAAATTTTTGTTTGTCTGTCTGTTTGTTTGTTCCGGCTAATCTCCGAAATGACTGGACTTATTTTACAGGACTTTCACTGGCAGATAAATGTTGAAAGGACTGATTTTATAAGGAATAACTTAGGTAATTTTATTTTAGAAAAATGATTAGGGATCCGCGCAAAAAATTAAAACATGAACATGAAATGCAATCAAATACGACGCGGACGAAATCGCGTGAAAGTGCTAGTTAAAAATAAAATAATTAAAATGGACACAGTACACAAAAACTAAACTCAGAACCATAGAACAACATAGGCCCCCGGCGGACCGGAGGCGAGTATACATACGTACGCATTTGTCAAAGTATAAGTATATGCAACTATTACTTTACTTTATAGCTGCTCAGGGGTTAAGCGTTCGCGTGTTCGACAAATCGTATTCGATTGCTGCTGGCATAAAAGATATTGTTCATTCATTCATTCAATACAGGTTACAATCCATCAAGTCTACCAGTGCAAGTTTAATATTGTTACGAGCTTACGGTTCGTGACAATAAAAACTGCCGATTAAATTACCAAAATTAATACTTTAATTCACTTTACACCAATTAAAACTTAAAAGACACTAATAATTAGTCACACTGATTCACTTTATTTCGCTCCGAAGCTTCGCTTGTATCGCCAAATTCAATATTACCCCGATCGCGGCTATCAACGGCTTTATATAGGGCGCTTCCACCGAAACATCCAGAATATTCCAGAAAATAGGGGCGCCGACTGACCAGGCGCAGAAAGTTCGAGAGTGAACCCTTCTAGATAGCTTAATTCTTCTGTTCGATACTAGATAGCGCTGTTGGTGGAAAGTTCAAGATTGGCATTTTCTAGGAAGCCCTCATCGCTCTGTTCCCCGACACTAGATGGCGCTAGTGCCAGGTACCAGACATCAACTTAGGCGCGCAACAATATAGTAATCGCACAGTATTGTTTCTCCCCATCACTATAGAATAGAATAAAAGAGAATCATTTTTATTCAATACCAGCTGTGCTCGTGACTTCGTTGGCGTGGAATCAGTACTTTTGCGATTCTAAGTGATGATTATTTATTTGTAAATTAAACTGTCACGAAGACTTAGAAAGACGCTAATGATATTAATAAAAACATTCAGTTCGTCGGTCAATCAGACAAACAAACAAACAAATGAACAAATAAACGGACCGCAATAACGTAAACCCTAATTTGCTCCCGAATTTCTCTAGTCAATACTTGGTTTCCACACAACAAAGAAGAGATTACACTAAATAAGCAAGCGTCATCACCAATTATTCATATTAAATTCTTAGCTCCTGCTGGGATTTGACCTAGAATCCGCAATAAAGTAGCTAGGTACCCTTAGCCGCGTGGTAATAAGTAGAAATGGCCCGAATATGGAGTTCTGAAAATTCGGTAAAACTTTTACCGAACCTAATATTTGGTCGAACATTATTCGGCAGGTTCACTTCGGGACCTAACCAATTTATTTCAAAATTTGTTACCGTAAAGCCTTTGAATTATGGAGTGTAGAGGTAAGGAGTACCAACTCCCATAGTAGAATAGTTGAAAAAGTGTCCATCTGTAAGCAGTAAATAACAGTTCAAAAACTCTCCACAACAGCGCTGGAGTAGCAACTGGGATGAAATGAACTAGCAGTTGTCGACGGTTTGAAGTGTGCTGCTAAACGGCGCAGTAGCTCTAAAATCTAAAATAATTTTATTTAGTAAATATAACCTCGAAAAAGTCGTCTATCCCACTAATATTTTCGGCACTTTCTTTAAAATTTAGCCCGTAGCTATAGTGGCGCCACCCTTATTTAACGGTTTTCTACGGACACTTTAATACAACTCTATACTTCTACACTCCATACTTTGAGTAAAGCGCGCGGGATTAGCGCCGGACCCTGCACCTAGCTGCCCCGCGACACCTGACAAGTTATTTCATCATCGAGTGCTGAGCAAATTGCCGGCACATTCTTTTGTTTTGACTATTTTTGTGAGAAAAAAAAGTATTTCGTTGTGTCATTAATCATTATTAGTGAAAATTGATAATTATATGATAAAAATGAGTTTCAGGAGATCTAGTATTTGGACTTATTTTAGAGAAACTGACGACTAAAGTAAAGTGAAATGTAGTAATGTAATGTAATGTTTCTTTGTTTGATTCCAAAACATTTTATTAAGCTTTCTATTTTCTATAATTCGAAATAAATCTACAGTGCCTTAAAAACAAAACGCTATAAAAGTAGATTTAACTCATAAATAAAATATACTTTCAACAGTAAAATTATGAAAGACATGGCATTACTCAATTCGTACATTTCAATACAGTGGACACTGAGTACCACTTCAACGAATATTCGGTGATTTAGCCAAATATTCGGCCGAACACGAATATTCGGTAAAGCTGCCGAATATGCCGAATACCGAATATGAAACGAATATTCCGCTAGTCTCTAGTAATAAGCTGTAAAAGGATCACTAAATAAATACTTAGGGTTAATCTGACTTACGCGTCGTCCTCGCCCGCCCGTCTTCGCGCGTCTAGTTCTTTCTCCAGCCTGTTGACAGTCTTTTTCATGGTCTCCAGGCTCTCCACGCTTGCCAGTTCGCGGGCGTGCATTGCATCTGCTAGGGCCCTTGCTTCGTCTATGAATGCATTAGATGAATCATAGAATATTATAATACACAATAGAATGGCTGTCAACTTTATTTTGTACGAGGATTGGCGTCGCCAAACCCGATTCGCTGTGTTGACAGATTGAATAAATTTACACATTTTAGACTTTCGATTAATGTTCAAGATCATCATTAAAAAATCGTATAAATTTTAAAACACATTTATTTGTAAATAGGGTGCAATTTGGCATTTATACCTAGAATATACCTAGAATAGGCTATTTTTCTTCATCGGAAAAAATTAAGCATGGTGCTGCCGTGCTAAAATTATTTTCTATGCAAAAAAATTTAAAGGTGATTGTTAGAGGATGCTCCTCACCGATTTCAGCCCTCAACCGCTGGATAGTTTTCTGTGATTCGGAGAGTTCAGTGGTATATTCGGTAACTGTGTCGTCAAACCGCCCCAGTTTCGTCTATGGAGATAAAAATTTCATATGATTTTTTTTTACATTGACATATTATTTAAGTCTTACTACTATAGTCAACCAAATCTAAGAAATACCTTTTGACGTTTCACATTAATGATTCTCCAATAACTTTGCACAAGCGTACTCACAAGAGTTAAAATAACCTTTTACTTAAATCCGAAGAATTATGAAGTTATCTATATTTCATTACAACCTATATAGCCTTCTACAACTAATTTAAATTCGAATCTTTCAAACAAAGCAAAATATAAATAAAAAACGAGTATCAACTTTTTTACTTGACGTACTTTCAATGATATGTCGCTATGTATCTTACCGTAGTGTTTGGATAATTAAAATTCATTGTTATGCGAATAATCGGCAAAAATATTAAAATAATCTGTAAAAATATTAAAATAATCGAATCATTAATCTTTTTAATGTATTATTTGTTTAATTAAATTTTTATTTTTATAATTCCTTAAATTACACGAATCATGAATAAAACAAGTTTTTTTTAACTTAATCAACGTAAATTTGTGCAAGCAAAAAAACTATATATTTCAAGGCCGCGCTCAAAAAACCACTACGTAATTTTAATATCCCGCTATTTCGGGAGCCTCGTTGGTCTAATTGTTGTAGTAGTATGACTGCTGATCATGAGGTCCTGGGTTCGAATCCCGGGTCGGACCAAAAAAACTAATTCTTGAGTTTTTCCTTTAAGAAATTCTCAGTAGTTGCCCGGAGCCGGAAAGTTGGCGGTGTCTCACCCCCGTGCTTCGGAAAGCACGTCAGGCCGTTGGTCCTGCGCCTGATCTCTCTCCGGTTGTGTTGGTTTACCGTCCCATCGGATTATGAGAGTTAGTGAATATAGAGTGCTCCTGTGCTTGCGCATACACTTGGACACTATAATCCTGCGAAATTCGGTCTGGTGGACATTATTTCGGGAGCATACTGTGCGTAATTTCATATATATATTCGTTGAAGTCTCATGTCACAAAGGACGATTGGGCAAAAGTGTTAGAAAAAACAAAAAAAAAATGATTATGGATGATTTTGAGAGACATTAGTTTTGACTGCATTATTGAAAATCAAATAATAATTAATATAAACAAGGACAACTCAACCAGTTGTACTGAAAGTGATTGATTAAATTTATTTTTAATCTGGTTTCAATCTTAAATTTTTATAACTTTGCCCCTAAAAATAAGCAGTAACAACAAATACGTATAAACAGATAAATCTTGTGTGTTAAATTATCAGTTTCTAATTTATTCCGATATTATTCAAACCAAACTGTAAATGATTACCAACTCGGTATCGATTTTTTTAAGAATCGAATATTGTACGTTCCAATTTTTTGGTTGGCATGCTTGGTGCAATAAGTCTGACAGCTGTCAAAACGTATTTCCTGGATTTGGTTGACTATAGGTTAAGAGTAAAGACCATCTTACATCTTTGAGGGAGTTTTAAAGCAATGCGTGTTATAGTTGCACCACGAGTGAATCGACTCAATCTCAGAAGATCCACGCTCTCAAAGAATACTAGAGTAAAATAGCATCCTAATGCTGCTGTGTTTCGTATGGTGAGTGTAGAGAACCGGAAAATCATTTTACAAGAAACGAAGCATTCCATTTTATTCCCCTGGGTTGACAACTCACCTTAGATTTATATGTCTATGAGCCACAGCATCCACTTACTATGGACATGGGCTGCGAGCTCGTTTGTCATCCTTTTTCAAACTCAACTTGAAATTGCTTGCGAGTTATGACATTTTTGAGGCAAACGCCTACAGTCCTGAGTAGCCGTAGATGATGTTGATATTACTCTTTTTTACCAGCCTGTAAAAGGCCATATGAGCTTCTTGGGCTTGGCGCAGAAGAGATTTGCTTTAATTACCCGCTTGACATGGACATTGACATTTGCACTACCAGAAGTTTCGCATCCTTGACGCTGTAATATACGTATTTTGTCATAAAAGAGAGGGCTATTCCCGAACTATAATATTAGTAAGTAGTCGGAGTCTCGTAGTGTTTGCGAACGAGCCAATTCCGGTTAGACTCTCAGCTCATCTGAGGTCACTGGGACTCCGTGACGGACCGCTCCGGGCTCAAATGTAGAAGGCGGTGCTCCTCGATACCGCACGCATCGTACGCCGATTTCTTTCCCTTTTTTTTCAACCTTCAGCCGTTTGGTCTCCTCTACCGAGGACTTCCATCTAGTTGGGCCTTATCTATCTATTTAACTATATTTTATTGAATATATTCTATTCCGCCGGCCGGCAACGCATCAGCAATTCCCCCGGTATTGCGGTTGTTCATGGGCGGCGGTAGTCACTTACCATCAGGTGAGCCACATGCACATTTTCCCCAACTCCTATAAAAAATAAGTGTATTTAGGAAGGTAGTTAAACAGAATTAATTTACAATCACAAAATACACGGGTCACCGGTAATCAACTATAAATTGTACCAAGACTAATTTAATAGCTGATAATAATAATTAATTCGCTTCCACGAATTAATTATCCGAATAGTCTAGGATGAGCTAGTGGCGGGACAAAACAAGTGAACCGTGCCACGCCAGAGCCATGACTGATTTAACGGCGGCCGCTCCGTCCGTATTATACAACCGAGACAAGAAGCTACACGAGCGCCACTGCAGGTGCAATGCGCAGGTGTGCGGTGCACGTGTCGTTTACAATAATTTCGACTACCCACAGAGGCGCTGCGATACGGCCACACTGACATGCGTGCGTCCTCGCACGCGCTGCATCACAATCTTAGTTATCTGTAAACAGAAAAACATCTTTCGATTATCCTGACAAAAGTCATAAACTTTTTCACATTCAACAATACTTTCTGGTCCGGTCTACATCGACCCTTCAGGCAATTAGCATTGGACCGATTCCTTTGAACACTGCAACACTAATCAGTTTTGGTCCGGCAACATGCCCTTCAAAACTCTTACTGTTTATGCTAGCCCGGAATCACTATTTCCTGTAGCCGTATCATTGGTCCGGCATAAGCCCTTCAATGATAGCAAGAAGTACTTTTTTCTCTTTTTACTTTCTTTTTTTCTTTCTTTTTTTTCTTAATATTTTTTTTTACTTTTTTTCGGTAAAGTTTGATAGTAAGATCCATTTTTTTCTAGCTTTTCCTCTCTTTTTTTTCGATTTTTTTTCTCTGCAGGAACAATACAGCCCGACCAAACCACAATAATTCCCCATCACAATCACACGGTAGTGCAACGTGAGGGACGCAATAACACAATAATACCAAAGTATGAAAACCAACAGCCTCATCACAAATACTCTCTTACACTACAGGAACCACCACAACAGCGCAACCATAATACTTTCTCTCTTTGAGTCCCAGCACTCGTATGACCCTATCGGAATCTTTTACGTACGGCGCTCACAGTAAACTTCAAACTGCACAAAAGAGTGGGTTCTCCCGATATACCCTTTTAATCGTATTATACCACCATGAACAAGAACACTACTCGAGAGTGATGTAACCTCTCTGTACTTTATAGACGTGCCGACGCGGCAGCCTCTCATCGGTAATTGTTGTAGTGACTTCTACTAACCCCTCGACATCCAATGCCGATCTTGTCGACCACACCATATTTGGAGTAAGCTGCAACACTTATCACACGTTAGAACACAAAAGGGCCACTTATTATTTTCAATTCGTAACTAGTCGAAGTTAATCGTTTGTCACATCGCTTAAAGATTTCAAACTTCAATAGTAAAAACACACAAAAAAAAATTAACAATAAAAAAAAACAAAAAAAAAAAGACAGGGTTAAAAAAAAAATTAAGTTTAAAAAATAAGAAGGAAAAAAAACTCACAAACGTAATAACCCTCTTACTATTTAAAACTGAAATTTGGGACTTTATCCCATGTGAGCGATTACAGGGAAATTATCCCATGAGAATTAAATGTGGGCAAAAAACACGGGGATTTTATCCCACTTTTGATGTAGGAAGGTAGCTAAATAGAATTAATTTTTTCAATCACAAAATGCACGGATCACCGGTAATCAACTATAAATTGTACTGAGACTAATTTAATAGCTGATAATAATAATTAATTCGCTTTCCACGAATTAATTATCCGAATAGTCTAGGATGAGCTAGTAGCGGGATACAACAAGCGAACCGTGCCACGCCAAAGCCATGACTGCTTTAATGGCTACGGATAGAATAGCCGAACGGGAAAAAACCGGCGCTGCTATCATGCGAAATTTTATTTAGCGAAGAGAAGGGGCAGAGAAGGAAGGGGGGGGGTGGGGCTGCATGAAACATTCGCTCCGTCCGTTTTATACAATCGAGACAAGTAGCTACACGAGCGTCACTGCAGGTGCAATGCGCAGGTGTGCGGTGCACGTGTTGTTTACAATAATTCCGACTACCCACAGAGGCACTGCGACATATATATTTATTTTCATTCTATTTTATTAAATTAATGGTGTGATAATATATATTTAAAAGTATTTATATATTTCAACCAGATGAGAAAACTAGAGAAATACCCCAATTAATAATATTTTCTTTCAGATTTTTCCGCTACTATAAGAAACCTAATATTTCTGAAATTGATTGCTTCGCTAAATTCTCTTACATCATCGTCATCATCATTACAGCCCTTCTCAAGTAAACTGCAGAACATAGGCCTCCCCGAAGGTATGCCACAAAGCACGGTCCTGAGACACCAGCATCCACCGACTTCCTGCATTGTCTTACCGGCAATGAGCCGGCCATATAGCTCGAAGGACCGACAGCAGATGGGGAATAAAGGTTTTCGAGTGGCAGCCTCGTATCGGTAGGCGAAATTTAAAGCGACCCCCCAGACGGAGTGATGACCTGATTGATAAGTTATTTAAAAATTATTTATTCCGTCAAAATTATTTGAATAAAATCTTTAAAAAACAAGTCGTAAAATTAAAAATTTCGTACAACCGACTTCAATACGACCGAATCAATGTATTCGAAGTCAATTAAATAAGCATTAGATAACTCAAAAACTACTGGTGAGATCTTGGTTATTGATTATATTATGTGATTATTGATTATATGGGACAACATGACAGCTTTTAGAGAAAAAAGAATTACCAAAATCGGTTCACTCAAAGAAAAGTTATGAGGTAACAACACACATTAAAAAGTAGTCGGTAGAGCCACGCCGCAGCTATATTATAGTTGTAGCACGAATGGGTCGGCTCGACCGGGGAAGGACCACGCTCTCACAGAATACCAGTGTAAAGTAGCAGCTGCTAAATTTTCCCTCCACACTCAACATACGAAACGCGGCAGCACTATGTTACAATTTGACGCTGGTATTTTGCGAGAAAATTTTTGGTGTCCTATGAAAATTTTCTTATTTGGTTACATCTGCTAAAACCGTATATCCAGAATCACAAGGACCTTCTTACCTTTAATAAAAAAAAAACAAAATCTCCGAATGCAATGCTGTCAACAGGCAGAATATCTTCTTAAATATAATCTTTGGTAAAAGAAATTCCACTTAGTTCAGTTTTTGTAAAATTAAATGAATATATTTCTCTGACGTGAAAAAATTGGTTTCGTTAGAAATTACTATTGAATTTGTATGACAGAAGAAACGGCAAAAGAAACTTTGCAGGTATCTTCTTTTTTTTACGATTTATATAACAATAGTAAGTATACTTAGTTTATAAGAACATATCTCACCTTAAGGGTATTGATTTGTTCGTTTTGAACATCATTTTCTTCCTTTAGCTTGAAATAGGAGTCATAAAGTTTTGTATACACGTCGGCGTAGAGTTTCAGACCCTCTGCCTCCCGCAACTCTTCCAACACCTATTAAAAGGAGAACGGTTTATAAATTAGGCGCACTTGTTTTAGTTTGGTTGCCCGGAATGATCCAACTATCCGTTTGAGAAATTTGAGCATCTAATTTTTCCAACATTAATTGTGGAGCCGACATAAGAGATTTTATCACTCCATTTTTACCCATGAGCGTCGTAAGAGGCGACTATGGGGAACCTCAGAAAGATCTATTTACCGTTTAAGGGCCAAAAATGAAGAAAAACTCAGCTAAGCTATCTTAATTGTATGTACTCTATCATTACGTGTAACCGAACCGACTATGTTAGTAAAATTAGATAATTTTGTCAACAACAAAACAATGGTATAGTAAGTGGTAAGTCTAATTTTCTACCCAGTAGTCCCGGGTAGGTACCGCCTCTGCTGATGTGTTCCAGTCTAAATGGTACAAAGAGACAGCACAATTACAAGCTGTGGGGTACTCCAACTTAATCCTTAGTGTGGTGACTACGTATCTGCAGAAAATTAAATAAAAAATAAAAATTTTAATTATCATACAGTCCATAGACACCATCGATATAAATGACCAGATATGGTCGTGCGAACAAAATTTTTTCACAGTTTAAGCATCGAATAAATCAGCGCCATCTCTTAAATACTCTCATGAACTACCACAGAACCAGTGTTTCCACTTATGATTTTGGTTTTATCCTAGAACCTGTAAAAATACTCCCTAAATTATCGCAAAAAAATCTTAATAGCCTTATTTACATCTAATTTTGAATATTTTAAAGAACAAAATCATTACAAGTTTTGAATATCATTTCACGATTTTTTCTTATTAGAAACTTTAAAACAAAAAAAAATTAAAACTCTTGAGTTTTGTGATGAAGAAGACGTTCTCATTTTTTAATTGTAATAACACTTTGTGTCATAGGAATAATGAATATTATGTAACTAAGTTATATATTATACCATTATTCCGATATACAGAATGAAAAACTTTTTCGTTCTACACTTTTCTAACTCTTTTGACCCAGTCCCCTTCGATAAATCCTTAAAAACATTACATTGGGTGGGTATAGAAAACAGGGTTACCTGAAGTTCGATTTCACCCCAAATTATCCTAAACCCTGTCAACTTGAAGAAACGTCTGAAGTCCTACCTACATTAGTAGATTTACCATAAAATAGTGCAAAATATCTGAAAGTGGAAACATTGCACAGACGCACGGCACACATATGAGGTGGCGTTGGTGCTCCATAAACATTCTAGCACCAATGAGCCGGTGCCATTTTGTTTGTCAATGACCTGGTTCAAACGCAATAGTATAATAAGTCTATGATAGACACAGTTGCTTTAGAAATTTTACCGCGCAATGGACACCATATACCGATAGATCGGTTGCAAGTGTGAAGTTTTCATCTACAACAATCTTACAGCTGGTATTGATGTACCGTGGTTAATATATACGTAAATCACCTTTTCGAATTCTTTTTCAGCCTCTGTCGTTTCCGAAGCCACGGCGACCAATGCCCCAAAGCTATCCTCATCGCCAATCGATTCCATTTTCAAATATATAACTAAACTATTAAGAATAACCAATAAATACTTTTAAATAATTTATGAAGCAAAATAAAAATTGAGTACAAAACTTTAATAATGATGTTTCACGTTGCCATAGTAACAACGCCACTTTCACAGATAAAATAAAAGTTAAAATGTAAAGATTATACCGGAAGTTTTTTATTTTCTGGAAAAAATAGAGCAGAACAGGTGAACGGAACGGAACAGATATTTTATAATATTTTTGTTTTTACTTTAACATAATATGAAATTGATCCATCAATAAACACCACTATTTTAAAATAAACTTTCTGTGATAAAAAAAATAAAAACTATGATAAAACTACTAAGAAACAAAAAAAAAAAAAAACAAAGAATTAGATAGATCAATTACATAATATCTTAATACTTATAGAGAAAAATTGTAAAATATCAGTGCCATAGGCTTCTATTTCGTTCACCTGTTACACGCCATTTTTTCCAGACGCTAAAAAGTCAGCCAGTATACTCTTTGATAAATTTATTAGTTTTCAAAAAATGTATACTTGAACAATCGTCACTTCGCTTCGTCGGTCCTTTGGATAAAGTATCATACTCATTGATTTGTCCAAGATCGGTCCGGACTCAGAAAAATTAGTAAGTATTGGTGTTTATGACGACTCCTTATTTAGTTATGTGCATGTCCTGTTATTGAGACTGGATTGAGGTTCCAAAAATAATTAACTATAATTCATTTTATTACGTAGTTGGGCTTAATTTCTACCGTCTTTCTTGTTCTTCTTTTCCAGACCATAAAATTTCCTTGCGAGATATACTGGGTGATTTTTTTATGGCACTGATATTTTATTATTATAAAATTGATCTATCAATAAATACTATTCACATTTAAGGGTATCTATTTTATAATATCATACGTGGTAGATCAACGCCGCAGCTATATACGGTTGTAGCACGAATGGGTCGGCTCGAACGAAGAAGGAACACGCTCTTACAGATTACCGGAGTAAAATAGCAGCTTAATCCTGCTGTGTTTCGTATGGTGAAAGTAAAGATACGGAGACATGAATTGAGGCATTCCATCTAAGTCCTCAGGGGTGACAACGCATCTGCAATCGAGGATGAATGGTCTATGGGCCGCTGCATCCACTTACCATAAGGTGGACTGTGTGCTCGTTAGTCACCTTTATTTTATTTAAAAAATCTGCCAATTTGAATTAACTTACGTTACTAAAACAATAACAACACCATTTTTGAACTAAATAAATAAATCAATTAAAATCTATCGAAATTAAAACAGTACGTACCTAATTAGTAGTATTTATTGATAGATCAATTTTATATATTAACGTAAATAAAATAATACAAGACAAAATATAAAAACTTAGGGGAGAAAAAAAAAAAAAAAAAAAATTATTATTAGCCCAAAAAAAATGTAAAAAATCAGTGCCATAGGCTTCTATTCCGTTCACCTGTACCTCTTTCAGCGATTTGTCTCAAGCATCACTTTTGACAAACGGATTGACGATCGCAGTGCTAGAATCACCACGTAGTAAGGCTTCTATTCTACCTAGAAGAAGTTCATTTACGTCTGGGCACGTACTATCTCTGCCGCAAAGCAGCAATGCGTCGGTTGTCGTGTACCCTGCATAAAGGCTTAGAGAGTACTTACATAAAGGATCCGAGATCTGGCTCATAGTTCGTAAGAACTGAGGGACTATTGGTTCTCAAAGGTGACTACCTCAAGCTCTTTTCTGTTTTATTTCTTTTAAGTTTTAAATCTATGTTAGTTTTAATACGAGGTAGAGCCATTTTAAAAAAGAATAAGGGTGACAAGCGAACACACAGTCCACAGTAAATGGATGCTGTGGCCCATAGACATATCTATCCTTGATTAAAAATCAAAATGCAGATGTGATGTGTGTCAGATCCCTGAGGACTAAGATGGAATGCTTCGTTTCCAATAGAAAGGATCATCGATGTACATTCACCTTACTACTATTCACTATTCACGTATTCTGTGACAGCGTGGCTCTCTCTTATACAAGTTAGACAAGTGATAACAAACAAGGATAGATTTTTGCAGCGTTTCTTCTCCGATCAGAGGAAACTCATTTCGTAAATTTAAGAAAAACAAAGTTTGACAAACGAAACGTTAATTTCTTACGTCAAAAAATAAGTACATAATTTATGTCGGTTAAAACGTATTTTTGTGGTACTAGTGATTATACCTATGTTCTTTGTCAGTGGTCGGAAGATGCATTAAGACGTTATTGTTGTTTAGAATATCTTCACTTTAACACGTCATGACGAAGACGGCATTTTATATTTCATTTCATTTCACGTCTCCGCATCCACGTAAATGAATGGATTAAAAGAACCTTCTTTAATACCTATATAAGAATAAAGTGCTACCATTTAATAGTTGACGAAAATCTTAGTAGAATTAAGTGGCCAGTTTTGGATAGTTTTTATTTACCATCATCAACAAATACCAATGCGGATCATCACAAATCCACTACAAACTTACTTAGGTCATGAGACCATTACAAAGTATGATCGTCTTGCTGCAAACCTCATCGGTCGCAACTTCGTCTAACGGGAGCCTTGCCTACAATTCCACTGCTGCGGAGCTTCAGTGGTAGATTATATTGTATTTTTGGCCGGTATGTATGCAGTTATGTGTAATAACCCGTTACTATGTCCGTGTAACTCTGAAAGTAGTCGTCAGTTATCGTCTAAATTCCATTTTTTTTATAGAATAGGGGTGACAAACGAGCACACAGTCCACCTGATGGTAAGTGGATGTTGTGGCCAATAGATATTTAACCTCGATTAAGAAACAAAATGCAGATGCGTTCTCACCCCTGAGGACTAAGATGGAATGCCTCGATTCCAGTAAAATGGCTCTCCGGTTCTCTGCAGCATTAAGCTGTTATTTTAGGCTGGTATTCTGTAAGAGGGTGGTCCTACCCCGATCAAGCCGACCCATTCGTGCTGCAACCAAAATGTAGCTGCAGCATGGCTCTACCACCACGTAAAAATTTCATGGATGGTCGATCAAAAAAAAAAAAAAAGGGGGGGGGGGTAAATAACCAAATTTCGCCTTTATAGATTTTTGAGTAATTAGTTTAGTCTGTAGAATATACGGTTCTAGAATTATTTTTTTTTGTTTTTACGTGTTTCGGCATGAAGTGTAATGAAGTAGAATGTATGAATACACATGAAGTGTAATAAAGAAGAAGGGTAGAAGTGGCTAGGCCACTAAACTTCAAAAATATTTGACTTTTAAACAAGTGTTTATCGAAAACAATCCTTGAAAGACCTTTGTATCACTAAGGTCACCAGTTTTAAACGTATTAGAGAATCTCGCCAACGAAATCTCGACGCACCGAGAGTAATTGTAAAAATACCGGCTTCCTCATTAATTTTACAATTAGAGACTAGGGGACAGGCAATTACCGACTCATCGACCAACCTGACTTCCGACTATTTGCCCCTCCCTCTATCATTTGCTGATAATTCGCTATTTCTTTCATCCGTGTACACCAACTGTTTTTCTCCTTCTAACATCCAATCCAATTGTTATTTGTCTGATATACCTACGCTATAATTTTATTTATAGTTCAATTGCTCTGGTATATCACACATCATTAAAGTGGTAGAGCAACGCGGCAGCTTTTGCTGTTGCGCGTATGGGCCAGCTCGTACCGGGGTGGTACAACGACCTCACAGAAGACCAGTGTGAAGTAGAAGCTCTGCTTCTGCATTTCTTTTGGTGAGTGCAAGTGGCTGGAGGCCCAATTACTTTAGGAGAGTACCAGCAGCCCTGGTGATAGAGAATCACTCGCTGAACATCCACGCCCAAGCTACCCTACTCTTTCTGAGCGTGGGTGCTCAGGCTGCCCCATGTATTCTGGGGGGGGGAAGGGGGGCGCAATTCCACTCGAGACTAAACCTGCTTGGGGCAAACGGAGGAGTAAAACAAAGACGCCCTCTGCCATGCTATCCGTGAGTTTCTGCAACATCGGGGTACTTTATTCAAACCTTGACGCCATCACTACCATCTGCAAACGGCGAAGCCGGCCATGCTCTTTCTAACCGAGACCGAGACCGAGACATAGGGATACGAAGTGCCAGTCAGAGAAGATACCCTCCGGCTGGCACTTCTTATCCCTCTTACCCGAGGTACAAATGAGAACACTCCTTTGTGCCCCGGGCTGGAGTTTGCGTGTACGATCAGAGAGGACATCTGTTTTCGACGCCTCGGCAGTCTTGAAGGTACGGACCTGTCCAACCTATGGCTACGACACCACGACCATACCCACGTCTACGGGTGCTTCTATAGGTCGCACAGCGGTAATGCCGACACAGACCGACCAAGACCGTGGAATTGTCTGCAAACTCCGTGCAACAACAGGCCTCATCCGCAGAGATCGTGATGCTTGGTGATTTTAACGCCCACCACGCTGAATGACTTGGTTCCCGTTTAACCGATCATGAGATCAGATTTTATGGCTTTGCTTTGGCATATGGTCTGACACAACTGGTTACCTCGCCTACGTGGATCCCAGATGTGGAAGATCATGTACCTTCCTTGTTGGACCTTCTGCTAACTTCTCATCTAGACGGATATCAGAACTCCGTCGATACTCCTCTTGGCCCCTCGGATCATTGTCTGATCCGGAGTACGGTGCCACTCACGCTCCCATCGCAGTTGCGTTCTGAAGGTTGCCGCCGTGTTTGTTCATTGCCAATTCACTCATCGACAGAATTGGTGAGAAACTAGTTCGACTTCCTTCTGGAACATGTGCATTCTGGTCTTTCGCCAAGGCTGTGCAAGGAAACTTCTGTCAACAATCTCTCCCATCTCTGCCCAAGGAGGACGACTCACTGGCCCATGCGGCAAAGGACAAAGCCGATCTGCTGAGCTCTCTTTTTGCGTCCAACTCGACTCTTGATGACGGGGTGAACACACCGCCAACCATCCAACGGTGTGAGTGCTC